CACTTTTTGGGGAAAAAAATCTTTAATTTGATGTGCTATCATGTGAACTCTTGCTCTAAAGATGGAAAGAGATTGCATTTACAGTAGTATGGCATGTACTGTATTTAGATGGTTATTCTTTTATTTGTTCTGTCCTCTTGTTAAGGTGTTATACCAGGAAAAAAAAAGTTTATGCTCAGTAGAGCATATCTTGTCTGTTAATCAAACATCATCCGCAATTATGGACAACCATTTTTTTGCCGGGACAGTTTTCCCAGAAGCCAATTAACCTGCGGAAGTAGGGGTGTACAGTATGTCTTTGGACTGTGGGAGGAAACCCACATGAACGCGGGGAGAACATGCAAACTCCACGCAGACAGTACCCCAGACCTGGAACTGAACCCAGAACCCCAACTGTTCTGTGAGCAGTGTGAGCTGACCACTGCACCATCGTGCCATCCCCAGCTAATTCCATGTGTACACATTGGTTCGGTTCCTCAGGCTCTTGCATTATCTCTTGTGAAGTCTGAATCAGGTCCGACCGTTTGTGTTCCCGAATGGTGAAGCAAATTCCAAATTTACTGCTCAGAACAACACATGGTAACATTTTGGTGTTTTCGGTTTTTTTTTCATTTATTCATTTGATTTTTTGCCCCACTTTCCATGGAAAAAATCATTTGATTTGAAACAAAAGCAAAACTTCCCTCCGCATATCGTATAACAACGATCCCAGCTGCTATTCTATTTTGGCTGCGCTGACTGTAAAAATTCAACTTTAATTGCACATTGCATATTCTGCCTTACTTACTGTATACAAATGCAAGTCAAGAGCTCCTATTTTCAAAGAATTCAAATATTGAATGTTACGATGTTGATTTGATGGGCTTTACAAAGTTTTGTAAAGATCCCTTCCCTTTAGTATTTAATAAAAAACATGTGGCGTTACTGTCATTGACACAGGCCTGTGCTGTGTCAGCCAAACCTATGCTGAATAACTAGCGACGCATCTAAGCCAGCTCAGGCTTAAACCTTTAGAGCACATCACATTTGCAGGGCAATTCCTTGTGTTCTTGACAAGCTGAAAAGAACCTTAAATGATTTCATGTAATGCACTTCATGCTTTTATTTGTAGTTCCTACAAGAAAAAAAAACTTTATGTGGAAAGTTTTCTTGATGTTGCTGTCAGGATAAGAAAAAAGAAAAAATGTGCTGACTCCAACTAAAAGGCTAAAAGAAATACTGTCCTGTGATTTTCTTCTGAGCCTTGGACACCAAGTTTTTTGCAGACAAGCATTCTTTACTGGAGCAAGCAGTGGCTGTAAAAAGAGCATTCTGAATTAAATTACAATGTGTTACTGTAAGAACTTCAGATCCATACATCTCCCCAAAATCAATACATCTTTTTTTTTATTTTGAAAATGGCGAATTCAGAAACTTTCAGGATTTCCTATAGTCCAGAGATTTCTTGCCTGAAAGAGTACAATGACACAGTAAAAAAAACAACAGCTTTTTTTCCTGTTTTTAATCCTCTGTATTTGGTTTGATTTTGGCTTTATCAACATTTTTCTATTGCAGAATGTGCTTTTTATATATTGCAAAGCATTTCTGAGAGGTTTGCTCTTAGGGGCGCTGTATGAATAAAAGAATAAGCAATGGCATGGGCTTCACCAGTATGGTTGGTCAGCTTGTTTCAGACCCCATCAACCCACCCTTTGTGTACAGAAGTGCAAATCTTCTAACACTCTGCACTTGTCTACCAAATATCTGCCACGTTTTTGTCAAGTCTTGAATTCTTGTTATTCTTTCCATTGCAGCTGCTATAGTATTTTCTAACCTTCCTACTTTGTAATCGTCTGCAACCTTGACTAGTTTACAAGGTCTGCCAGGAAGTCTAAACAGAAATCATGAAGAGAAGTGGTTCTAGTATAGATATCTATGATACTCTGCTAATTACATTGTCCCAGTCTGAACACTGAGCACTGATCTGTTTTTATTCATTAATAAGTACTTAATCCATATAAATGCATTTATTTGAATGTCTACTGCCTGCACTTGAGAATTCAAGGACATTAGAAAGCCTCATGCCCTATGTGCAGAGTGGGGTGGCGTTCAAAATCCTGTACAGAATAGTAGCCTCATATTCTTGCTCACCAGCCCAGTGCATGTGTGGAACAGGAAGAGCCTTCTAAAAGTTTGTCGTGTGGGACACCAGAAGACTGTGTCATTACTGCAGTACTGTAAGATGTTCTTCTTTCATGATCAGGAGTTACTGGGCAGGTATGACACCATGGTGATACAGTAGCTTAATTACCGGCCTTATATCAGCTGGGCTAGTATCATAGGCACTTCTACACATACCGCAGGTGTTCAATTAGGTACAGTACAGCACGGTGCTATAGGTCCCATGTCAACCCCTTCATGTCCCAGTCACAAGCCTGAAGATAAGAAAGATTTTAAATGAGAAGAAGCCGTTCAGCCCATCTAGCTCATTATTAGGTGCTGTTTGATCTAAGTATTATGTCCAGCTACTTCTAGAAAGAAGCCAGGGTACTGGCCTCAATAACATGGCCGAGTAGCTTGGTCCAGACTTCCACAAACCTTTAAACCTTGTGCACATGCTGTAGGACCACTACACATTGGAGGGTTTTTGTAATCGCATCTCTGATCCTTAGGAGGAGCCTTCAGAGAGCTTCTGAAAAAAAAACAACAACTGACAAACATATCTTAATTGTTTAGGTCAGGTTTTTAATCTGAACACACAGGTGTTTATTGAAGCTATGGAACCCCTGCAATGGTTTTAGTACAAGTATCTTATTATTTCAGTGGTCTGTTCTCCGTTATTACTGTGCTGAACATTATCCAGTTTCCCAGTTTAAAAAGGCTTTAAACGCAGTCGTATCCATTGCTAGATACGTTTGTCTGTGTTCCCATGGCTTACTTTAATGGAAAAATCCAGTCAGACATGCCCACACAGTTTATCTGAAAAGATACAGGGAAATTCCATATCATTACAAAAAAAATTAAATGCAGGCCTGGCATATAAATTTTGTACATGTACTGTAGTCTGGCATGTACCCTGAGAAAGTGTCTGAAACAAATCAAAGTAATAAACATATAGATTGCCTGAATATACATTTTGACAGGAATGCTCGAGTTTTAAAATATCAGGTCTGAACTTTATTTTAATGTGTGCTGCACCTTTAGTTCAGCTTCAAACAAGGGGACATTTGCAGCTTTTACATGTTTTGAATAATGGGCTGTACTTTAGACATATTTGACCTTTAAAGGCCATATAAATAAATACATAATATTCCATTGCTTGGTTGAGCCTCTGAGACTAATAGAATACACAACACAATGAGACTAGTAATGACAAGAGACCTTTATAATTATATTTTAGCATTTTGGCGGGTCTCATCAGACCTGGATAAATTGCATCTAGCATTAAATTCTACTGGAAAGACTGAAAACAATATCGTAATATTAAAATAAAATAGTATATCTGTCAGTTTCGGTCTGCCTTTGAAATTTACTACCTTTAACCTGAAAAAAAGGTAACAATTTATTCTATTTATTCTGTAAAAGAAAAGCAGTATCTATGCTTAAAGTTGAAAAATATGATTCGATGTGGCTCGACTAAGGATTTAATCAAAATAAATTGCATCAAAATCAACGTTTTATTTCAGGAACATACACCACCTGACCTCCACCCCATTGTCTGTGTCCACTGTACTTGAGCAGCCTGTAGAAACCCAGTCCTTGAAAGCTTCTGTTCCATTCAAATGTATCTAGCCTGAGCACTTGCTCTCTCACATACACTATAGAGTATTTGACATTTACTCAAAGCCTATGTTCCAGCTTGAAAAGAATATTTGGGTCAAGAGACAGTGTCTATAGATCCATTATACCCACAGAGGTGATTTTGCCATCCCAGTTGAGCTGTAGGGAGCCTTGGGCAGGACACAAACCAGAAGGGAAAGCAGTACTGAAACACTCGAGTGGCCATCAGTCGTGCTGCGTCACGGTTCACTTGGGATTCAGCTCCTGTACTTCACCTTGATTTTGAGACTGGGGAAGTGTCGTAACATTCAATGATGGGATGATTCATTTAAAAGCAGTTACATGGAGATAAGCTGTAAAATATCTTCAGACAGATACAGTACCTTTGCCCAATTTACCAGTACACTTGAAGTGATAAATTGCAACTCCTAGTCCTCTAAAAAGGTGCTCTTCTTTTGGATGTCATCACTGTAGTTTCCTGGAGTGGTCAGACTTCAACAGCTGGCTGTGTCCAAATATAAACCTTTAAGGAACCAATCATCAGAATAATGTTTCGCATTTGACTTCATACTTATGAAGCCTATACAGTAATTAAGAGAAACCGTTTGCTTGAAGTGAGGTTTATAGAAGTGCCCCAAATATGCTACATTAAAGCTATACAGGAACAATTCAATTTAACATTTAGCATTTTTGCATCTTCAACTTGGAAAAAGACTGTTACAAAATGAAGCATCTGATTCATTTGACATTCTTTATGCCCCAGACGTCCTTACATTATCCATCTTCAGGAATTTCCATCTTTATATGTCAGAAAAAGACCGTTTCTGAAACTAGACAATGTTCTTACCAACACAACAGGAAGTGTTACTATAAGTCACAGATGAAGAAATTGTGTAAGGTTTGTTTGCATAACATTTTGATTATAAGGTCTCTCAGGCCAGTCCCTTGTCTTCCATACCAAGTCTGTACAAGTCAATTACTGTATGTCATAGGTACTGTCCCTACAGTACCAACATTTCAGTGCTGTTTGAGCTACAAAGTTTCAGACAATGATGGAAAGAGTTCAAAAGAGTGAGGAAAAATAAATCTGGACAGAAAAGTAAGTCATACAAAAAATATTAAGCTTAAAAACAAAAGGATGTAATTCAGGTATTCAAAAAACAAAAAGGCAGTAGGAAATTTAGGTGAATGTGCCTCAAATACAGTTCATGGCAGGTCAGAAACCAAGTTGCACTTTGTGATTGAAATTAATGTTATTTAATGGGAAAAAACCCTACAATTATACACATTGATACTCTTTGGAGAAGAGTGTAACCAGAGTGTGAACAGAGAAGAACATATACATATGCAACAATGTTGATACATTTTGAAGGGTCATTTCCTTAAGAAAATTTACAGTAGATGCACTAGTTTTCTTTCAAACCACGTCTTACACAAACAGTAAGATAAAGGAATGATGCAGCTGCTGCCAATGCACTGGGCAAAAACAAAAGTGAAATGCTTGCAGAAAACAGCACAGTGATTACAAGGCTTGCAGCGTCCCCTGCTGGAGAAAAGCATACATGACAAGCACCAGGAGGTTAGAACAGCAGAACACAAAATTAAGACTATCAGAATTTTAAAATGATTTCAATAAGAAACCATCTTAAAAAAAAGAAATTCTGGGTAATAAAAAGGTTGGATTATTTTAAAATGACAATCTAATAGAAAAATGTGAAAGTTAAAGCTTTAGGTTTATGTTTACAATGTGAACCTTTGAAAGTATGTGAACCAATAAGGCTCCCATGATCCAGCTGTTACAAAATGTAGGTTTTATACCGGTGAAACAAAGTACTGTATATTACATCAAGTCTGCCTATGCAGACTCAGACTCCAATGTAATATCCACATTTGTCTTATCAAGATTGCTAACTGAAACCACTTGAGAAATAATTTATAATACCAGACATTGGCAATACCACCATCTTTAGGAGTCTTTATTTTTATTCAGAAAAAACAAACTCAATAAAGTGCATTGGTTAATAATAATATTGGTTTCACTGCACCAGGTTGTGATTATTTTAAACTACCCTATCAACAAATTTAATTTGAATTACATTTTCCACAATTCTTCTCAATGGCTCATCATTTAAATTACTGGTCATTGTAGCTAAGATAAACTGCTGTTAAAGTATTTTCCCCCACATAAAGGCGCCCAACTATTATAAACACTCCATTAAACAGCTTCCTCCTCTGGTTATGCTATCAAGTTAAGTAATTGTATCCTTTAATAATGACCTTAAGATACAGCATAATGTTATGTCAAGAATGGTATTTTTACCCTCTAAAAGTGTTCAGAATGATTACTTGCTGTAAAACTGGCTGTAGCTGGGTATTCACTTCAACACAAATATTTTTCTAATGGTGCTATAGACATTGTGGTCATGGTAAGGCCTCCCCTTAACCTGGTGATTAAGAATAAAAAAGAGCAATAATAAATAAGACAGTAATGCTGTTACATATGTGACAGACTAAATTATGTCCTTCCTTCTCTTGCCTTTCGAAGAAGGCAGGTCGACAAAAATATTTGCACATACAGGAAAGATACCAGCGATCACTGTAATCTTTCTGCCATTATCTTTCCCTTTATTTGAACACAGAGACTAATATTTAAATAAATTATATATTTTGCACAAGTCAATACATTCTAGCATTTCAATAACCAAAAAGAAGCTTTTTATTTTCATTTCTCAAGTGTTTATTTTTCTAATTTTCTTTATCACAAAAGAAAAAGTCTTCAAAATGCAGACTAGTATCTTTCTGTATATAAACTGTACACAAAAGCAAGGCACTATACATTGTTTGAATTATATAGAAAGAATGTATTTCTTTTCTCTGAATTCCATGCCTTTAAAAATACATTTTCTTTGAGCTTAGCACCTGAAAGATTACAGAGGACACAATGTGTTACCTGTTGATAACAGCAAATATTTCAGAATGCATAAAAAAAAGAATGTGGCATGTATTTCCATTTTAATACAAGCATTTTTTCCTAATCAACATACGACACAAACCCTTCAAAGTGAATACATTGTATTTTTTTCTCTAAGGTGTTTATATAAATATAGATTCTGTATAATGCACAAACACACACAAAGTAACACCTTATGAAGAGAACCATATCAAAATTCATAGGCAGTATGTGTCCAAGTGATATTTTGCAACCGTCATAGGGACAGCTGCTTATTTTAAGTGCATGTAAGGACTATGCATACAAAAGCATTGCCTGATCTGAACCTGACAAATCCACTCAAGAAATAATATTGAGGGTTCTCCTAAACATAATATTGGGAAAACAAAAAACGCTACAACAGGCAAGTACACCAGAATCCTTGATCATTTCATTTCTTCCTAGATCTCCAAGGGGCGTGGGGAGAGACTCCTCGCGCCCGCTGGTCCGAAGGGTGAATAAAGTGATCTCAGTGGCAGGTCCAGTACAATCACTCATCAGATCTGCATTCTGCCTAAAACAGGCCTTTGGCTTTCTTCACGTTCACCTGCTTCCAGCCTGGCAGTGCATCAAACTCCTCTCTCGTCAATTCTAACGCAGTCTGAAAAAAACATTTTATTCCATGTATTAAGATGAAGCCAGCACATGGTGAAGAACAGCTTATTTGTGCACGATAACATTTTTCCCCAACCTTGCAACCCCTAGCCTCCACAGATTTAGAAATCAATTTTATTAAACATTCCTCACATGCGCACTATGTACTATGGTGTTATTTCTACAGAGTTCTTTTGATATAGCAAGTGGTGGAACACTTCTGATTTAAAAGGTGAATCAGACTGTAAAAGTGCTTAGAAAGTATCGGCTCAAAACGACAAATTTCCATCCAACTTTCTAACGTTCCAAATCCTGCTAAAAATACAGAAGACTTGCATATTGTAGTCAAATGTAGAACCCAATATGTAAGGAAATTTGCTATTTAGCAAGATGGCTCAATATTTACAGTAGCTGCCACGTGAGGAAGGCTTAAGCCCTTGAACTTCCTGGTTACGAAACGGATTCAAGACCAACAGTATTTGTTGGGAGACATTACAAGTGAGAAGACAAAGGGTACCATGCTTGTGCTGGAAATGTCAAATAGAGCATCAGCTGAGTTTATGAAAGAACCTTTCAAATTGTAAAAAGGTGTGTGAACATAATACACTATTTCAAAAAGCAATATACAGTCGAAAAAGTTCAAAATTCAAAGTTTTGTGTAAAAGTAGTGAGTCATAGACCCGTGCACATTTAGACACTTGATTTCTTTGCTTGAGAAAAGTGGCAAAGTGGCTGAGATACACAAGCACAGGACATTGTTCTGGCCAGTGTGAGGGAAAGCTGAGGAGCCCTGACATTTCTGAAAAAGTGAAGACGCTGTGAGCCACCAGTGTGCACGTGCATGGCACTCACCTTCCCAGAAGCCCCTACACCCTAGAAGTGAAGTGAACAGTTAACCTTGGTTTCATTTTTTTAAAACAAATATTCTGACAGGTTAGGTCTTCCCTGCCTAGCCTGACAGCTTCAGTAATTCTTACCCTTATGTAACCTCTAGTGTATCAAGACTACCCAGGAATAAAGACAAGTTCAAGAGTAATTCCAGAACAGATCACTGTGCATTCTAAATCACCACGTCTCCAAATTGTGCTAAATTCAGGGCATTTCCACCACACAATACACCTTTTCTAATGGTCATGTTATGAACAGCAAGAACTCCCCCCCGATTAGGAAGAACTGAATATCTACTCGGTTTACTAGAAATCCGTGCTGCATCAGCGCATCAAAGCTTAAATGCTTAAACGTGCTTCTGCAGAAGCTGTCAGTAAGCAAAAGTACACTTTGTCCGCTAGCCCATTAATTTGGATGGGATATGGGATCAATCTTCCTTTGATAGTTTGATTCATTTTGGAATACAATATAGACTGAAGTCTCAAATTCTCCATTAAACTGAAATGATTGATACCATTTCACAAAGCTTTTTTGCAGCTTATCAGTATGGTACTGTATACTGTACTTATTCATTAAGACAAAGAGGCACATATAAAGGAAGTGTTAATTATGGTGGAACAACTACAGATTTCTTTACATATTACATACTTTGATGCGCTCAAGATTTTAAAATTTTAAAATAAACTCTTACAAATCCCATCTCACTGCAATATCTTAAAGATTTGAGCAATCTTTGGATTCATATCAAATCCAGCAAACTCACTTTCTGGCATCAGTCCTGAGCACCCTTCTATTCGTTAACATGTTTTTTTTACTTCTTTTAAATGGGCAGAAAACAAAGATTTAGATTTTTAAAATATCTTGTTAATTTAAACAGAGGGGAAAAAATGAAAAATAAAGCTGCCCCATTTGTTTCCTTGACTTTAAATCATTATTAAATCGGCGGATGAAAACATTTGGACAAAACGGAAGCAGGACAAGAAAAATAAACTCCTCCTGAAACCGGGCAGGCAAGTCCCTTGCCACCGGCCAGCTGCGTGGCAGAGCAGGAGGAGAGGACGGCCTCTCACCTCAAAGTCTTCGTCGGACAGGTAGATCTCCAGCTTGAGGGGGTCCACTCCCTCGGGGAGGGGTCTGGCCTGCAGCTCAGCCAGGGGGTACGTGGTCTGACAGAGGCGCGCCAGCACATCCTCCACCAGGATGATCTGATTGGACACCTCTGCCTCCTGTGAAGTCAGAAAGGGCCCATGACGTGATTCATGGGCTCACAACATTGAGCAGAACCAGTCTATCAAAATGGCTAAATGAATTACAACATACCACACAAAGTCACATGGTAATTATGTACCTATATTATCACTTCTAGTTCCCTCAGCTTACACCCGAAGAAGGCTCCACAGCCAAAACGTTGCGTTTTCTTTCTTCTCTTTTCAACATGGAATAAACCTATTACGTGTTCCTATTCTCACTTATGCTTCTTACCGAATACAATCTTGAATAAAGATTGCTAATAGCCTTTGTTTAAATGTAAAAGGAAATTTTTACTTATTTTATTCATCTCCTTTGATCATACTTAGATAATCACAGCGGGGTCTCGACATTTGCAAGGGTCCAGTGAAGAGAACCATCGCGAATAGCCAACCAAGTTCACCCTATACTACAGGGATCTCAATTTCTACACTTTATAGTATGTATGGTTAAACGACATAAGCAACCCTCTCTTATATGATAAAGGAAGTACTGAAGTGGCCTTACTTTAACATATACTGTATAACACTAACCAACTAAAAGAATAGTAAATCACGAACTTATAGTATTCAGCTGAAACAAACACGAACCCCCCCCCTCTGTGTCCAGGATGTACTCTCTGCTTCGATGGTTAAGATATCCCATTGTAATGATAGGAGCAGTGAAACCGTCATTCCCCCTGCTCCAGACACGGAACCGAGAGAGTTCCTCACAATACAAAAACGAGACCACGTTGAGATGCAGACGCTGGGTAGTGGGTAATTGGGCAGGGGACAGGCAGAGGATCGCTCACTGGCTAGAGGTCCTCTCACAATCTTAAGTCTTCTAGATCCTAAACTTCACCTGTTTTATCCCACTCTTCTTTTCTTCCATACAAGACACCTTCAGCTAGACTGAATCTCAAATGGGTACATTTTTTAATAAATCCGTAGATGTTGAGACCCTACAGTATCTCTACATTTTTCTAAATTCTAAAATTTCTCAAATTCAGTAAGGTAGCATGGGCAATAATAAATACTGTACATGGTGTGTACAGGGGCACAATACTAATGCTAATACCATGAACGTGGGTTATATCTGCCCGTGTTCTGGGCCAGGGAAGTGGGAACTGTGCTTACCCTCTCGGTGATCTCGGCGATATCCTCCCGGTGCTCCCAGCTGGGGAACATGTTCGTGAAGGTGAGGGGCTCCAGCCCTGCGTGGATCAGGTACGATTTGGGGGGCTTCTTCTCTTTCTTTTCTAAAAGAGGTAAAAACCAAAAAGTTTCCACATCACTTCCTAAACACCTTATATTAATAATTTATTCAGAAGATATGTCAGCCTAAATTTCTGAGAGATGATTGGGCGAACTAACCTACTGGATTTCATCTTACCCAAAGGACCGAGCACAAAAAGGTTTTACCATTTTGCTCAGGATGGCATGAATATCAATGCCATAAATTCCATCAAAGGGATGGGATCAAGTCAGGAGCAGTTATGGACAGGGCTTATGCTGAAAAAATAATGGTAAGACATACAGTAGATTCCCTTAAGTACGTACCCATCCCATTCCTATAGTTTTGTTAAAAAGAATACTAAAGTGTTTTAAAAGGAAAAAATGCAATGCTTCTAAAAAAAAGTATTCACTGGAAGAAATTAACTATACTGAGGAAAAATGTGGCAACACCAGTAAAGATTAAAGTCCACATATTTCTGATGGCTCTTGATTAAGCTGGTGGCATAGTTTAAGAGCCTCCAAACTCAATGCCCCATACCTTCCATATGGAGTGTTTCAGAATGCTTTGGTTTTGGCTGCCTTATTAACCAATATGATTCCTGCACAACAGCCCCACATAGTGTACGGTGGCTGATCTCGTTTCAGCTTACACTGGGCAGAGGCACTCAACAGGGCCATCCGTTATCGTAGTTTGTCCTTTCATTCGAATCCCTGACTAATACGGGCTATGAGATGACATGCCAGCCTCACTCCCACAGAAAAACCAGGGTCCAAACGCCACATTGCACAAGAAAATTCCATCAGCATATAATGATTCTTTCTGGTGTTTCTAGTTTAGCACTTCACATTTGAAACTTATTTAACAACTATGATAAAAACGAATATATAGCTACTCAATGCATTCATCACATTACCTGTGATTCCAATTTAATTTCTTCTACCTAGAACATATGAATTTTATTGTAATTCATTTCGCTTGGAGAAGCACAGATTGTGCCACAGATATGGGTTGTCCGGCATTGCCTGAAGTAAGACATCTCTTACTTTGCCCCTCTTGCACAGTACCTCTGCAGTACTGCAGCACAGTCTCCATAGCACACTTCCTGTCGGCATCCCAGCGGATCCGGGCCGAGCCGGTGTTCTCGCTGTCCTGGGGCCACCAGCCCTGCCACAGGTACACTTCGTGATGATTGTCAACCAGGAACAGGGCTGGAGCACAAATGGAACAAAGGGCAGGAGCAGAATGAGCAAGCTCCAGCAAAGTTACTCTCCACTCAGTACAGCTCTCCACTAAGAGGAGTCAGTCAAAATAAAATTTGATCTTACAAACAAGAGAGAGTCTCTCAGGCCATCTAGCTCATTTGGTTTTCATTAGTCAAGGATCTCATCCTGCCAGTTTTTGAATAAAGAAACAAACCCCAAAGATCGATGTCGTAAGTCCAAATACAGCAAGAAGAAGAGTCTGCAGGAACAAGTCTCACCACAGTGCTCCTGATGAGCAGTATAGTAGCTCTGTACCACTACAACAAAAGAAATTCAACAGCCTCTGAAGAGAATTTCTATATACCCCTGTTGTGACAGGCTTTCCAGATCCCACTTGACCCCGTGAGGAGCTAGAGAAGCGCAGTACCTGGTTGTGGGGCAGTGTAGAGGTCCTCCTGCAGAAAGGGCAGAGAGTTCACCAGCTCTGGCTCTCTGGCAGGGTAAAAAAACTCAGTAGCAACAAACTCCCCCGAGGAGCTGCTCAACTGGAACAGTCGTGGTGTAAAGTTGAATTTACCCGGATCTGAAAAAAAGTCGCATCACAAACCATTTTGATCGTATTGTACCATGCACCAGTAAACAAACAAAAAAACAACCAAAGACTATATACTGTACATTGAAGATTGATCAAAACATTCAAAACATTAAGAAGTTTGCCTGGGGTATTAATGATCATTCAGCAATGCTGCCGAAGTTAGCATTCACCAGTTCAACCAGCCACCTTTTTTAAAATTGTAACCACCAGTTTTTAATTCAATGCTCGGCAGCTTTAGAAATGTGAAATCCCTGCCATCCCCCATCTTTGCATCAGAATGAGCGAGGCCAAGATGGCCTTACAGGGGCACATTTAAGCCCTGTTTCTCAACCGTTTCTTTTCATACTTCAGGCAGACTGCTTACTGCAGAGCTAAGAGAGAAAAATGGAGGGAGAATGTATGTAACACCTGAAGAATAACCTTGGCTGACTTTAATTCCGTCCAAAAACAGAGAGAAACAGAGGTGTCGTTTGGGAAATTTCAATGTGCCATCAACTTCTTCACACAAGAGAAACCACATCAAGCACCATCTGGCCCAAACTACTGAGCAGAGGCCTGTTTGAGCTACTGCAAATGGGAGGCAGACAGGCGACTGAGCTAAAATCACCACTTCAGTTCAGCTTTTAAGATCAGTGATACCTTGCAACATGCAGTCGTATGCTTTGCGATCTCGTCTTCCAAGTGCTTCCCAGAAACCAACAGGCTCTGACCCCTCGTCACACTCGTGTATGGTCACTTTACTGCTACTGTGCAACCCAGCTTCTAACGGACATCTGCAAACACAGGTAACAGGATGAGCCTATATTGTTTTATATTAGCTATTAAAATGTTTGTACATAAAACTAATACTAAATATCTTGTCGCATTGTTCTGCATCTGTCAAGTGTTGCATTTCTTTGAGTTCGATCGCAATGAGAACAGCAATGAAGATGAGGACACTAGCAAGTTAGAAGACAAAACAAAGGGCAGTTCTACAACAATTTTTCAAACATTTCCTTCTGCTCAAACAGCAGAACTCACTGTTCTTTTATCTTGTTGGCTGCAGTCCTCCCCACTTCCTTGGTGTGGGGCTGAGCCTTGCATCCGTGCCAAAGATAGATAACGGCTCTGTTTATGTTGAGGAGGATCATGGATGTCCGGGAACGCAGGCTGCTACAGTGACACGCCACCTCCAGCAAATTACCCTCCACCGGGATCTCTCCTCGTACACAGTACAACCGCCAGTCATCTGCCGGAATACAACAGCACCGTCAAAACCGTGCTTTCTTGCACACCAGCACAACCAGTAATACTGTATACAATGCAGGCTGCCACATTGTCATTGTCCTTTACTCAGAAGTCTCTGGAGCTACACATTTAGCATTTTCCTTCTAAAGTACAAAGGACATGCAATACTACAAAAGTAAAGAATGCCATTTAAGGTATTACATAACTAGACAGGTTGAAACGGATCACTTGGCTGTATTAGGAAAATGTACGGGAAGACATTAAAATAAAAGTCAGCAGATAATCTAAACAAAACTGAACCGACCAACAGAAATCTTATTGTACATCCTGAAGCCCTTAATTTCCTGAGAGGAACTCGTGGAAAATTATAGTCATGAAGCTATTGTGTGGAGAATTCATGCACAGCAGGAGAGCAAAATTAAACAAAGGATGCAGAAGCTTCACATTTGAAGTTCATCGTGTGATTAAAACATTTACAAGGCTAAACGTTCTGTTTTTAAATGCACATACAGTAGATACGCATGTACTGTACAGACCAGCAGGCCTACCCTGGCCATAGAGAGCTGGAAGTATGGTTTATACAGTAGGTCACTTAACTCGTGAGCATCTAAATACAGTACAATTTCATTTTCACCATCTAAGCAGGTTATGAAAATACCAATGCCATGCAGCTCTTAAGGACACTTGTTGGCCATTCCTCACCAAACATTAGCAGACTAAATCGCTCCAAACTCATAAGTGTTTAAAACTGATGATTTATGGGTGACCTGTGAGACTTGCAAGACTGGTACTATGGCCAGTAAAGAGCTATATTACTATACTATAACTTCACATTAACTTTGCTTTTAAACCTACTGCGTCATTTGGGGCAGGTTTAGTGAAGGCAAACCACACTAGAAGCTATACAAAGCCACAAATTCACAGATCTATAGATTCTGACTTGGAGGTAATGGATATCCCAATGGATAGCCCAAAATAGAAAAATAAGGAATACAGTTTTGCAAGCATTTCAATTCTTTCAACCAAGATAAACCATGTAATGTGAAAGTAAAAATTAAGTAGATCAAAAGCACATTAGGAATCATACCTGACAATTTTACACTATTTACTTTAAGTAAACCAAGATTCAGCAGTAAAGCCATAATTAGATTACAACCATCAAGACACTGATAGGAAATGTCAAGCCAGAAAACATAACTTTATTGACAATGTTTTTGTTTGTATTCCACACCCATTTCCCGCTGTTCGGAGAATTTCCACAAATTCACCGATGTAAAACAATACCCCCAAGTAAAAAAAACAAGTCAGTTCAACACGAACAATGCTTACTTTGCGTATTTTCTTCTTCCTCTTCCCTCTTCCCAGAATGCACAATCATCCCACCGCTGAAGCACTGCAGGAAACAAGGGGGCTCTTTGCCCTGCTGCACCTGGACCTGAGGGTTGAGCAGGAGGCAGATACACGGGAGGAAACTCAGTGAAGGGAAGACATTCAATACATGACACACACTTGAAACAGCACAGATTGGACAGAAAATAAAAAAAAAGAAAACAAAAAGTGCAATGGGCTGATTCCAATTTTCTCTAGTCCTGTCCATCAGTAAATTGTGATATGACCACTATATTTTAGCACCAGTTATTATGCATGACAAAATATATTTCAACACCGTATAATCACCAGGAACGCTTAATGAACACAAGGATTTCATACCAGAAAAGCACAAACTAAGAGTGATCCTAGGCATTTACCGAAAGGCACTGGGGGCGGGGGGGTCTCGAAACCACTATTACAAGGCTAAGAGGGGACGTTACCTGAGCTCCCCTCTCCTCATCCAGCTCCACGGTCATCAGTGCGGACGTGCCCTTCTCGCTCACGGTGGAGTTGCGGCCCTGCCAGAAGAAGTAGGCACACTTCTCTTTTCCTGCTGCGGCGCTTCGCACCTGCTCTGGGTTCTGCCTCTTCCCCACTGCAACAACAGCCCCGCCTTGCAGTTTTACACAGGTCTTTACGGAGCATCAGATACTGGACGATCCACAACTATTGCAATACTACTGTACAGATGCACAGTTACAAATGATCCTCATTAGCTTAAAATTTATTGTATTAGATACCATACCAAGGTGAAAATTAAGGTATAATGCGTTTAATTTAGCTCTTTAACTCCTTTTCTGCTCTGCATCTGAGCCATAAGAAAGAAGATAATCAATTTGCTGACTGAAATACAATTGCAGGAAGACATTTGCCCATAGCTAAATTTTAAAGTGGTCTGGATGTGACAGAACACCAAACAGCGTGCACCTAAAACATGAATAAACACACTGGGATGGGGCTGTTCTTGACATGTTTTTGTTTGTAGAACTTTCTTTGCCTGACTCTACTAGCA